ATACTGCATAAGTAAGCACACACAAACATTCAAATTTGTTCAAACCTTTGGCTAAGAAACCTCAAAAGGTCACTGAAATAATTTGAAACTGAGTAATAATAAGGGAAAATAAGATTGAAAAATCAATTAATGAAATCAGTCATTGCATTTGAATTTTGGTCCAGCAGAATATTTTTTAGATATTTTTTTTATTACTCATCACAGATGTTCCTGTATGTTATTCCAGCCACATGGTTATGGCACCACATGCTTTGCCTGCCTGGATCTTAAACCCTGTTATTATGTGTTGGACTGTCTCAGGACCATCTTTGCACAGCCTTCATCCTGGGTCCATTATAGTGTGGTAGACTCTGACCTATGTTGCATTTGTGCTGCCATGATTAGTGTCTCCCTGCTGTCCTTCAGTCCAGTCCTCTCYATCTRCTGGTAGGATTTGTTGATATCAGCCACTTCCTCAACCTGCTGGTGGTACATGCCKTGCAGAAGCTTATCTTTCCACAAYGGTTCCTCTTGTTCCTCCTCTTCCACGTTGGGTTTCTGCTTCCTGAGACATGCACTCATCTGTTCATCATGAACTCCAGGATCTTAGTTGTTTCATCCTGTATAGTGGCTCAGACACTTAATAGTCCTCTGTCTCCTTTCTTTTCTCCCACAGTACAGTCTCAGGGTGCCRGACTTGGGGTGCAGCCTCTGTGCGCTCTGAGAAGCTTTTGTGTCTTCTATCTCCTCCTTTGGCCAGGCTGTTGTACCAGCTGGATATCTGATAACCAACACTGCATGTATTTCGATGAACTGGACTTTGTTTTAGAATAGAAAAATGAATTTACTGATGTGATTTTTATTTCTGTTTTCCTCAGCTGTTGCAGCTGATCAGACAGCAGCTACACACAGAGTTGTAGCCTTGGTTCTTTCTTCTGTGTGTGTTTTCTGTTGAGWAGTCTACAGAAATGTTCAATGCGTTCCACCTCTCGACCAGAGTCAGTTTGGGGTAAATTTCTACTTTGRTCATCATTAATAACCCTGATAATGACAGTGGACACAGATGGTGTAAAGAATAAACCACTCTGGTTCCTGAAAAATGTTTTCAAATTGGAAATGCACCTAAAGTGATCTTTTGGTAATTGATTATAAACACACCTCTGAGGACAGAGGAAGTACAGATATTTTATGTATTTCATCTATGTAGAGTTGAATTCAGCTGAAGCTACTTCTGAGTAGTGACTAGAGTGAGATGAGATCCTTTATCCCAACACCTTTATGACTGTTGTTCTGTGTTGTAGGTTAAGTTACATTTATTAGAACAGCAGACCAGAAAAACCTTCTGTCAATCATTTAAACAAAGCAGAAAAAACTGAGTGAGCTATATCCAAAAATGTACTTTAAATGAACAATAGTTAAAGGACCAAACAGGAARAGAGAGCTTCAATTTATGCACCATCCTGTCTTCATGTGACTCATTATCTTCT